TTTAAAGTGAGGCTATCCTTTAGGTTTTGTCTCTCTCTTTTTTTTAGTGGGACTGGGATTCGAACTCTGGGCTTTGCACTTGCAAAGCAGGCACTCTACTGCTTGAGCCACACCTCCCATCCATTTTGCTCTGGTTATTTTAGAGGTCTCATGAACTATTTGCCTAGGCTGGCCTTGAACTGTGGTCCTCCTGCTTTCAGCCTCCCAAGTATTCCCATGTCTCTAGGATTACAGACATGAACCACCAGCTCCCAGCTTGTGCTTGTCTCTTGCATGTGCCCTCACCAGAAGCCAAGCAGATGCCAGCATGCTTGTGGCCTTTCCAACCTCCAGAACCACGAGCTAATAAATCATGAACTTATAAATCACTCAATCTCAGCCATTTTGTTACAGCAACAGAATATGGATTAAGACACAGAGGGAGCTGGTCCATACACAGCAGTGTAAATACACTATGTACTGCTGAACTGTACACTTTAAAGTTGTGCTTATGTGAATTTTACTTCAGCTAAAAAATCCACTAAAACTTAAAATATGGATATGACAATACTAAAATTCAGAATTGCTATTTAAAAAGGAGGTCCCGATAAAACTATAAGAGAGGTAAACAGGTGGAGAAAAGATGTTTGCAACCTCTAAAACTGGTTCTAGAACAACACAAGAGAACACCTAAAAATCATCAGGAAAAAGGGAAGAAAGCAAGTATGTAAGGATAGACAATTTATAGAGGGGAAAACCTGTTGGCTGATTTGTGTTGTCTAAGGTGGTCAAAATAATAATAAGACCACTCTGGGCCGGGGGTGTAGCTTACTGGTAGAGCACATGCTTAGTGTGTGTGGGACCCTAGATTCAGTCCTCAGAACCAAAATCAAAACCCAAGGACTGGTGGAGTGACTCAAGTGGTAGAGCACATGCCTAGCAAGTGTGAGGTCCCAGGTTCAAGCCCCAGTGCCACCAAAAACAAAACAAGCAAACAAAAACCCACAAAAAAATCAAAACCAAAAAAATAAAACCAAAACCATCCCATCCCACCTCTCAAATACCCCTTTCATCAAGTAGTGGGGGAGGGTCTGCGTTCCCACCTCTTAAAACTGTGCTGGCCGGGACTATAGCAGAGTGCCAAGCCATAACGACCCAGCTTCTACCTGGTCCTCTCAGGTGCTACCTTAGAGCCTTGTCACCATGCTGCTGCCCGCCTGTGGAAGCCAAGTGGATCCAGAGAGGTCTATGAAGGCATGCCAGCAACGGCCTGATTTGACTGAGGAAGTCTCCAGCCCAGCCACTATCCGGCCACAACCATGTAAATTCTGAGTGAGAACTGCCTATTTGATCTCAGCCTTCATCAAAGATAAGAAAATCATAGTTCCTACTGAAGCCAGTACATTCGGGCCATCATATTTAGCAGCAAGATTTAGGCCCTTAGAAGTGGGTGCCATTGTAACAAAGCATGACGAGTGTGGCACTGGCTTTGGGAATGAGGGACAGGCAGAATGCAGTACGTCACGGAGACTGATGGTGAAGCCAGAGAGCCTCAAGGAAAAGTAAATGTTCTGAGGAGCTGGAGGAAAGGGGACCCTGGTCAGCAGTGTCTGAGATTCTGTCTACACTGTTGTCTGCAATGATGTGGAAAACAGGAAACGTACCTGGTGAGCTCAATGATCTAGTTAAGTCTTCAAAGCAGAACCAACACCTGTGTTAGCTTTCTGCCACTACAAAAAATCACCTTTGATAATCAACTGGCAGAGAGAAAAGGTTCATTCTGGCTGAGTTTCAGCCGTTTTAGTCCGTGACTGACTGGTCTGTTAGTTTGGGCTTGTGGTGAGGTAGCACAGTACGGCAGGAGCGTGTGGTGGTGGTACAAAGCTGCTCATCTCATGGCCAGAATACAAAAGAGAAAAATGGAGGGGCTTTATCCCACAATCCCTTACAAGCTCCCACCCTGGGGAGCAAGTCTTTATCAGGTACACCTTTGCAGACATGTAAGATCTGATCTATAGTGTACTACTTGACTTCTCATTACCTATGGAAAAATGGGAGAAGAGCTGACAGATGGTTCAGAGGAGAGAGGAGAGAGGGCCAGGTTTGGGGTTGACAAAAAGGGTTCAGGGCTTTCATATGGTGTCTGGACCTCTAAACCAGATTCTCAACCCTATTAGACCCAACACTCTCTTTTTATAGCCAATGCACACCTCCCTCCTTTACTATCTTGAAATGAATCATAAATAATATGACCTACTTAAACATCTTTCCTCTCTCTCCCCCTGTGCCAGGGATTGAACCCAGGGCCTCACACATGCCAGGCAGGTACACTACCATTAGCTATATCCCCAGCAACCAGCTACTACCATTTTGAGAGAGAAGGACAAGGGGAAAAGCAGGAAGACCAGTTGTGGTTGTCTTAAATAATCCAAGAGAGAGCCAACTATGACTCAGACCAAAGTAACAGTAGTGGGCTTGTTGAGAAGAGGTTCAACTCTGGGTTACAATTTTTTTTTTTTCAGTACTGTGGCTTGAACTCAGAGCCTATACCTTGAGCCACTCCACCAGCCTTTTTTTGTGATAGGTTTTTTCAAGATAGGGTCTTGAGAACTATTTGCCCAGGCTGGCTTTGAACCGTGATTCTCCTGATCTCTGCCTTCTGAGTAGCTAGGATTATAGGCCTGACCCTCTGGCACCTGGCTCTGGGTTCCATTTTGTAGGTGAGCTGGGAGACTTGTAGACAGACTGGAGAATAGATTGGGGAAGTACAACAGGAGTCAAGGATGACACCACTGGTTTTGGCCTAAGTGACTTGGATGCTGCCATTTTCAGCAATAGGGAGACCAAGAGAAGCAGGTTTGCAGTGACATGTAAGGATTTCAGGTTTGCATGTGTTAACTTTGAAGGCATTTTAGTCATCTTGAGATGTCATGTCAGTAGTATAGAAGAGACCTGGACTGGAAATATAAATTTGGGGTCCATAGTAAAGTAGCTAGTAATATATGAAAGCCTTGAGATTGTCATTATCTGACCATTTAAAATGAGTACTAGATCTAGAGTGACCCTAAAGCAAAAGTCCCTTCCAGAATGCTCTGTTTCTCCATGTCTCCTTGGGTACTCTCAACCATTTTAGACTCTGGAGTACTGCCATGCAGCAGGAGTGGTCCTAGATTCATGTACCTACTTCACTGCACCATCTCCATCACTGCTGAGGACTAAATGAACGAATACATGTCAGAGTGGCTTGCACACAGAATATAGTCGTGAAACAGAAATCACCATCAACCTGGGATAACTTCCTGCAGGCCAACAGTAGCTGATACCAACCTCATGCTTGTGGTTCATACCTGACATCCCAGCTACAAAGGAGGCATAGGTAGGTAAAACATTGTGAGGCTAACCCATGCAAAAATTTGAGACCCTGTTCCAAAAAGGGCTAGGGCTGTGGCTCAAGTGGCAGAGCGCCTGCCTAGCAAGCACAAGACCCTGAGTTCAAACCTCAGTACTGCCAAAAATAAAAACATAAATAAAATTAAATCTCAACTTATTAGATGGTGCCTATTAGGTCATTTTAGTACTCCAACAAAGCACTATGCGACTCATTATTTTACATAGCAAACCCAAAGTTTACAAAAAGTAAACAAGATAACATGCTAAGCTCGCATTTTAAAAGCTAGTCTATCAAACCCCTTCAGAACCCACACAATAGTGAGTCACAAAATGAGTAAAAAGTTATTTTAACCATCTTTCTCACAAGGACTTCTGATGATCTGATTCTCAGATTCTCCTTCCTTTTTGATAATTTTCCTTTTAGTCCAGACCTACTTTTGAAATATTTTGGATTTTAGTATCTATAATTAAGGTTAAAAGAAAACACAAGTTTCTGTAAAACAGCCACCCTGACACTCTAAATATAGAAATCCCAAACATCTTTCTCCTAGAGACAGTACAGGAAGGAGACAGACTGCATCCTCCCTACCAAATAGGAGGGCCCTGGGGATGCTGAATTCTGAATATTCAAAACAAGTGCATGTGGAAGTACAAAGCAGCATCTTACTATATTCACAGGGATGCTTGGGGAACTCCAACAGTACAACAGACTCTGCACCTTTTAAGAGTTTAAAATCTAGAAGAGATAAGTGCTACAGTACATTTTCAAAATCAACAAATAGGCTTAAGCATGGTGCCGATAAAAACCACAATTTTGTAAACTAGAGTCACTAGGTGATTTTCCATTTTTTTCTTTTTACTTATATTGTCTAAAACTTATATAATGAATAAACTGTATTTTTTTTGTGGGGTGGGGGGCAGGGGCAAGTCCAAATGTGCTCAAGAGAAGTAGGAGATACAAAGGCTGAGGGCCTGCGATCTAGAGGCTAAACACCTGTCCTTCAAATAACTGGCCAGGTGACATTAGGCAAAGTATGCAATCGTCCTGCATCCTGCATCCGACCTATTCAAAGCAAAGCAAAACAAACAATAAACAGCATTGTCTTCCTGGAGGCTGGCACTACAAATTCAAAGACCCTTGCATAGCAAGGAACCTGGGAAGTCTATGTAAATGTTCCCACTGCTAGTCCTATCACTACACTATGCACTGGTAGAAATGGTTTTACGTGGCTGGGGATGTAGCTCAGTGGTAAAGCACTTGCCTGGCATGCACAAGGATCTGGTTTCAATCCCCAGCACTAAAACAAAAACAAACCAAAAAAAAAAAGAGCTAATGAAAAGGGTAGGACTTGAGTAAGAACCTGGAAGGTCAGGAGAAAGACCTGTGAGGTAGGGTAACACCTCAGAGGACTGCGAATGACAAAGCTCAGCCCCTCCAACAGTGAAATGAGAACCAAATAGAGCATCAAGCCTGATGTGGATGGGAAGGTTTTATCTTAAAAATAGCAGCTCTTAATTGGCTCCAGAAAAGGTAATTCACCATAAGCACACTCACTTGGCTCTTGCTTACCTCCCCGCTTGTCTTCCCACAAAAAGAGACTCAAAGATTCCTTCTGAATGTGTATCACCATTTATTTTAGTTTGCATCAGGAATTGAACAGAGAAGACATTGTCGGTGGAGGGGGAAAAAAGGAAAAGAAAAAAGTATGTTTTTATAGACTTAATTTCTTCAAAACACTTTATGGTTTCAAATCCTTTTTACCCCAAAGGAAATTCAAGAATTCAAGTATGTTACTCGGAGCAGTAATACAAAATGCCTCATGCTTGTGTGCACAGTGGCTGTTTGTCTGTGAGTTCAACAAGCAGACAGACTTCCACATTCCTTGCACTCTTTTTTGCTTTGGTAAGGCCAAACCCCAAGGACATGTTATACAAATGTACCTTGGATTGAGGAGTTTATTTACGTTCATAGGATGATGGTGAAGGTTTGGAACTGTCACATAGCATTAAAAAAACCCTTCAGCCCCCCCCCCCAAAACCAACCCATAAAGTCACGAAAGTCCTGATATACCTAAGCCACAGTTGCACGTGTTCCTTAGATTCCTAATGAAGGGCTTGTAAGAAGGACCAGAGAAACAGGATTTTCTTCATTTTGTTTACAAATAAAAAATTTAAAAGGGGTATTTTAAAAGAAAAAAAAAAACCCTGAAATTCAAATTCTGAAAATATCTTACCTTTTTTTATTAATCATGTCATCTAACACCAATTAAAAAAAACAAATATGTGAATATGATATAAAAATACGATCCCAGGATTAACACTTTGTTGCAGGCACAGTTCTCTCACAGAATATATGTTTGGAGGGCAGGGGAAAGGAATTTTTGTTTTTGCTTCTTAAAAAAAATCCACAGCAGTGCAAGTCGGGTCAGGAAGGGGGAGGAGAGGGAAAGACTCTTTAGCAGCAAAATGTCCAAGTTTTCTAATCACAATCAAATCAACGGATATTGGATTAAAAAACAAAGAAAACAAAACAAACAAACAAAAAAAAGATGAAGGGGATGCTGCCCAGACCCACTCGCCATCACTAAAAGACTTTCATTGCAAAAGCCCCAAATTGTGACATGTGAAGGACATGCTTTATTACACAAGCAATCATAAAACTTGTCCCTCAAGCTTTTGACTGTTTGTCACTTAAATATATGTACAGGAATCGGGCTCCTCTTCTCGTTCGTGTCCCTGCAGATCTCTACTGTTTGGTCACTCTTGGTGGGCTCTCGGTGTCTGGCCATATCTGGTCACCAACATTTGAGCAGCAGTTTCACTGTGGATGCTGCTTCTGCCTGCCTCGCTGGCCTTGGCTGCTTCCAGCGGAGGAGGGAGAAGGGGGCCAGCTTAATGATCGCTGTTCTGCTTCTCTCGCATCCATGCTTGAATCTGTTCTTTCAGTTCTGGCACTGAGGGAGAAAAGAAAGGGGGATTAATGCCTCAGACAGGAGGTTTCTTCAGCTTGTAGTTCTGTAGCAAGTGGAAAGAAAAGGCCATTCATTCCCTCATTAAGTTGAAAACAGCAGAAGAAACAGGACATGAAAAGGAAGGGCTAGACTTCTACAGCAAAAAAGAGCAAGAGTGCTTTGCGCCTTTCCATGCAAAGTGCCATAAACTGGCTGGTTTCTGGAACTGATCAAGTTCCCTCATTTGGCTAATCTCTGATACATGAATCTGGCTGCACTCTGGCAGTGACGTGTGCTCTGCGTACCTGGTTCCAGCATGCTCTCAGTCAGCGTCTGGCGGTTGAAGGGGTCTGTGGGGGAGTTCAGGAGATGCCGCAAGATGATGGAGCGGTCCATGATGGTGCCAGAGGGTAGCCGCACAGGGTCAGTCATGAGGGTGTCCATCAGGGGATCTGCAGAGACGAAGCAAAGCAAACTAACCTAAGGATGGAGGCTCATGTGAGAAAGAGGACAAACCCAAACTGCTCCTATCAATGAAAAGTGTAGCCAAAGGAGGTACAGGCTTCAGAGAGTTAAAAGCACAGCTGGTTTATGTTACAGATTTCAAGCCCGGTCAGATCAGGAAGTCAGCATGCACTGCACTGGAGCTACTTGCCTCTGAACTCATCAGGAGCGTCACTATAGTCAATTTCTGCACGGGCGTTCTTGGCCACTATCTCCTCCACTTTCTCAGCGAGAAGTTTAAACTTCTCTATCGCTATTGTGGATTTGATGCCTGCCTTCCGCATCTTTGAAATCACTTCTTCAAACAGTTCCTTGCTGTAGGATCTCTGCAAATGAGGAAAGGCAATGTGAGTTGTGAACAGACTTTAGATGGAAAGTGCAAGTTGCAAAAACATGTCCAAAGTACAATCCATTTGTGGTCTCTCCCCTGAAAAATTAGAATTAAAATCCGAGTCTTTCTCTATGCATTCACTGTACATAAAAGGATGTACTTTTTAAGCTTATAAATGCATAAAGACTGGAGTAAAATGTGCCAAACGGCACAAGGTCACTACCTATGGTGAAAGCAACAGGATTAACATCAATGGGGAGTTTCTGAACTTTTGAAGCCAGCATGGACTTCTCTCAAAACTTACACATTAAAAAGAGAAGAAAATTTAGTCCATTTCAGTCCTTGCAGGGCACTTGCCCTGGCAGCCTGAGAGGAGGGAGAAATTCCAGCTCTCTTCCAAAAAGATAAATATGGGAAAAACCCCAAAAATGCTCCTAAGCAGAAGCTTCCTGTTATTTAAAGATCACTGTCAAATGTCAGGTCTACACTGGCACAAGACCACTCCAATAAGTGGGTGGTGGGCCTGGAAGCAGATGTGATTTGTGACTAAGAGAGGGGGAGGACAAGTGCACACCATGGATCCACACAAACCTGGACATGAATTCTGGGTCCATTACCTATCAGCTGTGTGGTCTTAGACAAGTCCCTAATTCACCCAAGCCTGTTCCTCACTTGTAAAATGGGCACAGTCACTTACTTCCTAGGTGCCTAATTCATATAAATCATTGACACCACAGAATATCAAAGTATATCATGCTTTGCATTATGGCAAAACAGTGGCTACTTGTTTATTTAGTGACCATGACACAGATAAAGGGAATTAAATCTGAAACCCTGGGACAGAACCATAATCTCTACTCCTATCAGTTATAACCAAAGAACTTAGACCAAACTAAGTCCTACTCTAAGCAGAGAAACGTGCTCTCTTATGACCCCATCCCTAAATGGAGAGGGTGTGTGCATGCCTGTCCTTCTCTGACTTGTAAGACTGTAAGTATGAAAATCAGCAAGTGTGACACGGGCAGGGTGCTGGATGTCGGCAGCCTGCTGCCATTATCCATAGCATGCCCTTCCCACCCCCACCAGTGCAAGAGCAGCTAGGCTTGGCCTGTAGAAACTTCTGTTCTAACTTTAGGAATTGCTTCACTGTGGGGCATTTGCATTGTTGCTACTGCTTACCTTGTGAGCTTTCACTCTTGAGCAGTGGGACCTGTCATCACCGTCCACATCATGAATTCATTCTACAGTTGTGTTCTTTTAGAGTGCTGGACTAAAATTTCCCAACATTTCTTCTTTTCTTTCTTAACTTCAATTTCTAAATAAGTGCACATGCTTACTTTTTCTGCACACACCCACACCCCTTCTAACTGAGGGGGATAAAAGCAGAAAGGGAAAGTAAAGTGGTAGTAGGGTGGCCTGGCCTGGCAATAATCCTCAGAGGGGATTTTGGAACCTGGAAAAATTCAGGTTATAATTTTCTAAAACTAAATTATATTCAACATTTTTTGGGCGGTATTACTGGGGGTTGGACTCAGGGCCTTCACATTGAGCCACTCACCAGCCCCTTTTTATAAACGGTTTTTTTTTTTCCTGAGATAGGGTCTCACGAACTATTTGCCCAAGCTGGCTTTGAACTGCAATCCTCCTGATCTCTGCCTCCTGAGTAGCTAGGATTGCAGGCGTGAGCCATCAGCGCTTGACTACAAATTATTATTTTTTCTTTTTCTTTTAGTTTTCTCAACAAATGCTTTATTTGGTACCTACTTACTCTGAGCCAAGTAAGCCACCGAATGTAAATGGACGAACAATTATAGTAAAACACAGGAAGGGCAGAAATGCACATGGAGTTAGTGCAGGCTGGGGTAGCTGCTTAGCCCATTTGGGATCTTATCAAAACATTGTCCACTCCATTTCCCAAAAGACGATGAGTTTTTAACCAATGGACTAGTGCTTGCTTGAAAGTCAACAACTAAGATACAGCAGTGGACTGAGCATTATTAGAAATCAAAGGGGACTTCTATGGGGACATGGCATTCAGCCTCGGAGAGCAGCGGCATCAGTCAATAAACCAACGCATCCCACTCAGCTGCTTCCTCAAGCCTGGCATGTGGCAGGTGCTGGAGAAGCAGCAGAGATCCTGTTCTTGACTTCAAGGGCCTTACATAGTGGTTACAAACTTACAATGAAAATACCTGTAAAGCATTTGTCAAATAAGGGTCTAGTAGCTAGAAAATACAAAGAACTCTTCCAACTCAACAAGAAAACAAAAACCATTCAATTAAAAATAAGCAAAGATGCTGGGTGTCAGTAGCTCATACCTATAATCCTAGCCACTTGGGAGGCTGAGATTAGGAGGATTTTGGTTTGAGACCAGCCTGGGGAGAAAGTTCACGAGACTCCCATCTCCAAAATAACCAGAGCAAAATGGACTGTATGTGTGGCTCAAGTGACAGAGCGTCTGCTTTGTAAGCACGAAGCTCTGAGTTCAAATCCCAGTTCCACCAAAAAATAAAAATAAATAAATAAATAAGCAAAGAAGGACTTAACATATCTAACTGCAAACCAAAACCATGATGAAATACCACTTCACTGCCAGCAGGACAGCTATTTAAGAAACAAATTTCTTGTACAATGTGCCCCACCCAGCACAACAATAAAAATAAATGTAAAAAAAAAAAAGAAACAAATTTCTTAAACAGTGAGGATGTATTAGTGAGGATGGAGAAATGTGAACCTTGGTACTTTGTGAGTGGGGATATCAAATGGTGTAGTGGCTGTGGAAAACAGTGTGGTCTTTCAAAAATTTAGACAGAATTGTCGTATGACCCGGCAATTCCACTTCTAAGCACACACTCAAAAGAACTAACAGGAGAAGGTCTACAGCAGCATTACTTGCCATGACCCAAAGGTGGACACAACCCAAATGTTCATCCATGGATGAATGGATCAACAGATGGATACAGCTATGTAATTAAACAGTATTCAGCCACGAAAAGGAATGAAGTATTGAAATAGTCTACAACATAGATGAACCTCCAAAACAACATTTAAACACTATTTATTTTATTTTTCTGGTAGTGGGGAATCAAACTCAGGGTCTCATCCATGCTTGCAGGCACTCTACCCAACCCCTCAAACACAGTAGGTGGCCAGATGCTGGTGGCTCACACCTGTAATCCTAGCTACCAGGAGGCAGAGGTCAGGAGGGTCGCAGTCCAAAGCCAGACTGGGCAAATAGTTCATGAGACTTTATCCCGAAAAACCTTATCACAAAAAAAAATGGGCTGATAGAAGTGGAGTGGCTCAAGGTGAAGGCTCTGAGTTCAAGCCCCAGAACAGCAAAACAAAACAAAGTAACAAACACACACACACAACCCCCCAAAAAACAGTAAGCAAAAGAAGCCAGACACTAAAGGCTACACATTGCATGATTCTATTTATATGAATATAAAAAATAGGTAAATACAAAAAAATAAAATAGAGACAGAAATCAGATTAGTGGTTGCCAAGGGAAAACAGTGATTGCTTTGTGGGTCCAGGCTTTCCTTTTGGGGTGATAAAAATATTCTGGAACTAAATAGAGATGTTGGTTACACAATGCTCTGAGTATATGACATGCCACCAACTGCATACTTTGAAACAGTTAACTTTAAGTGAGGGTGTCACTGAAGTGGTAGAATGTTTGCCTAGCATGCTCAAGGCTCTGAGTTCAATTCCCAGTACTGTCAAAAAACAAAAACAAAAAAAAAAAAAAGAAAGAAAGCATGCTTGTCTAGTAAGCATGAAGCCCCACGTTCAAACCCCAGAACTCCACCCCCCGCCAAAATTAAAGAACTGTTCAGATTTAAATAATTAATTTTGTTACATGAGATTCAGCTAAAACAAAACAAAACAAAACAAAACGAACATAACAAAAGAAATATAAAATTAAGTGCTAAATTTGTGAGGAAGGAGCAATTAACATAGGAAAGGCTGCATGGGAAACGTGTGACATGAGAGGAACTCTTATCTTTTAATGGAAAGTGCTGCTAACTGACAATGCTCCATGAACACCTGCCATGGAGTTGGAGTATGCCTGTGAAGCAGTCAGACGTGGCCACCAGTGCTATTCAGTCCATGAGGCCTCCTTGTGCTGGGCTCTCTCAGCATTAGGGACCACCTGCCACACTCCACCACTCTGTGTACAAAGCTCAGCGGCTATTCATCCAGCCTCTCTCTGCTGAACCTTGTTTTTAGTCCACTCTTGGTACACAGGGAAGGAAGGCACACAGTGTCTTTCCTTGCAAAGCTGTCATTTTATTTTTATTTTGTACCCCCAGGAAAACAAGCCATACCAAAGCGAACCAAGACTACTACTTCTGGGGCTGGTGGAGTGGCCCAAGTGGTAACAGCAACTGCCTAGGAAGTATGAGGCCCTGAGTTCAAACCCCAGTGCTGACAAACAAACCCAAAAAAACAAAAAAAAGACTACTACTTCTGAAGGAGAAAACTAAATTGTACCACCTCTTCTCTGGGTGCTTTTAAGCCTTTCATTCTTCTACCCCAGTCCCCAAATCATCTAAAACAACCAAGTAGGCAGGGCCCTGATTAGTTTATGGCCAATATAAACAGAAAATGCCCAAAAAAGAACACAAACAACACCTGTGAAAGAAAGCAGAGGCTCCACTTAAAATACTTGTCTCCATGTGTCAGTGGCAGGACTGTACTGGCCTCGTGAGTTTGAGAAAACAAGGTTCTTCTGACATCCAGGAGCCTAGTGTCCACTGTGCAGAGCCAGCTGCCAGCACTGGCATCCCTATGATTCATACATCACCAGGTGGTGTGGACCTCTTCTGGAGCTCACTTGGGTCCCTCTGGCTCACAGGACATGCCTACTTATCCATATGTACACTTCACATGGTTGCGTTAAACCCTGGGAGATGTGGCAGCTATAAGACATACTGGAGAAGAGGGAACATGCTGAAGACCCCTTCCAGGTCTACCTGGAGTGAAGATGAGCAGTCAGGGACTGTTTCATACCTGACCTCTGGCTGGCAGGAAACGTCAAGCTACCTTCTAGCTATACAAAACCTGCCTTGCATGGCTCACCTTGAGGGGGCTTTCCACTTTCCTCTCCATTTCTAACTGTGTGCACTATTACATAGCTGTCAGCCAGAAAAACAGCATGTTTTAACATCTCCTCAATATAACTACAATTTCCTAACCCTCTCATTTACTGAAAAATTGCTTTAGACACATTTCCCGCCTCCCCCTGACCCAGCACAGGCACTTTGTCAAGACCACTTCCTTTGTTTCTATCAAAAAACACATACAGCTGGGCATGGTTGTGCGTGCCTATAAACCTAGGACACAGGAGGCTGAAGTAGGAGGATCTCAAGTTTGAAGTCAGCCTGGGCTATATAACAAAACCCTGTCTCAAAAATACCTAAACTAAAATAACAAAAACCCCTACATATGTGAATTATAGGTCAATACAGCTGTTATTTTTTCAAAGTACCTATGATTCTTCTATTTTGACATTCTTCCTTTGGATGAGGTATGGAGAACCTTCTAGGATGCTACTGAGTCATATTTGGATAAATCACGTGAGTGAAGGTGGAGACACAGAAACAAACATGGCACTTTCTGGGCACTTAAAGGGGAGGCAGAAAGGTGAGAATATGGGCACAGGACAGTGAATCCTGCCTCTATCCCATGCTAACCCTGCAAGCTTCAGCAGGTTTTTAACCTTTTTGTCTCAGTGTCCTCATTTTAAAATGAGGAGTTTAGTAGAACTCCCATCATAGAATTCTGTAAGCACTGAATGAGTGAAAACATGCAAAGTGTTTTCTTGTTACACAGGGTTAATAAATACAAGCTACTACCATGTTAAGGTGATGCAGGTGAGAAGACTGTGGGGAAAGGGAGCCCTTTCTAGATGACCGGACCATCATCACAAAGGGCCAGTGGGGGGAGCAGCTTGTACTATACCGAACACAAAACAGATCTGACCCAGAGCCCGAGGAATGAAGGAGAGGGAGGGATGTAAAGAACGTGTTCATGAAAAAAGCCCCAAAGCAGCAGACTGGGGGATCTGGATTCCCTGAGAAAATGGCTCTTAGGAATTCAGGAAGATGGGGTCTGAACTCAGCTAGAAGGGCCAGGGAGCCAAATCTACTCTTAAGTCCCCAAGGAAAACAATCTGTCCACCTACGCCAGGCATGTGTCACTACTGTGCCTAGTACTCCATTTATGTACAAAATCTTCTCAAACCACAATTTGAAGTATCACCTTCCTTCATGTCCAGTAATGAAAATCAAACGGTGGATGGCTATGGATCGTGCAGGGCCTGACAGTGACGTGTACAGAGGCAAACCCAAACCAGCTCAGCAACCTGAACTCACGGCCCACCTCGGAAGCACCTTGTACCCCTGGCACTGACCTGGTCATCAGCAATGGCTTTAGCGAACCGAGCACAGTCCAGCTGCAAATAAATATCTGTCAGTTGATCCAACAGCTTCTTTGGTTCAAAGCCGTATTTCTCTGGATTTTCAACTTTCAGGTCACGACACTTGGGGCCACAGAGCTGCTGAAGATTAAAGTTCAGCATTGCTGCCAGTCGGGGTCCAAGTTCCTAGGAAATCACAGGTAACAGGACAATTCATATTGTTGAGTCGATCAAAGACCAGCACCTCCCTTCTCAGGGGAAGAACAGCAACTGGCTGATTTAATCGTCAGTGAATCCCTTACATGTGCTCAGCACAAACTGAAGAAGGCCAATGTTATATTCACACATTCTACTCCCCATTTCCTATAAGGAAATTCTAAGATTTAATGGAATATTATAGGCTACCAGCATACTGATAAATACCAGAAAAAGCTTTTAAAAATTCATGCTTTAATTATAAAAATAATTATCACTCCAAAAGCATTGAGAAACATGTAAAAGGAGTTCAGGCATAGTAGCTCATGCCTGTAATCCCAGCTACTTGGGAGGTGGAGATCAGGAGGATTATGGTTCAAGGCTAGACCGGGCAAAGTTAACAAGACCCCACCTCAATCAATAAGCCAGGCACTGTGATATGTGCCTGTTACCCTAGCTATGAGGGAGATCATTGTCTGAGGCCAGCCCTGGGCAAAAACAAGAGACTCCACCTGAAAAATACCTAAATAAAGATGTGCTAGAGGCATGGCTCAAGTGGTAGAGCACCTGCCTAGTAAGAGCAAGGCCCTGAGTTCAAACCCCAGTGCTGAGGGGAAAAAAAGAGGTAACAGGTAAAAGATGAGAAATGAAATAATTCCATTCTCATTTGAATGACAAAAGTGTTTGAGTCTGCTCTTCTAGGTGTCATAGGTGTCATTTCATGCATTTTTTCCCCATAAATTTCAAAAGTCTCTGACAGCTCAGAGCTTGCCATTCATTTTTTTTTTCAGATACAAGAGGAGAAATGCAAAGGAGAAGACAGAATTTATATCTTGAATAGTTTAAATCTAGCCAGAGAGAGAAAACTTAAATGAAATAGTCAGAAAATAATGTAAAATAGTACGACGCAAGAAACCCACAAGCTGACACAGTAAGTACTGCGGCCGGGCAGATGCTGCATTGACTCTAGGGAAACCAACAGATTAGATAGTAGGAATAGACACTGGCTGCAAGGAAGTCCAAAAGCTTCCCGTGAAGTAACAAGGCCATGGTAAAATACAATGAATGGATTTACACAAACTTGACAATCTACTTTTGTACAAAGTACTCCTGTATTCAATTGTTGAGAAGTTGTGGACTAAGGGCTTAATGAGAATAGGGCAGAGTCAGTAATTTTTTTTGGAGTAGGGAGTTTTGAGTGAGCTAGTAAAGAAGGCAAAAATGGTGCATCATACCAAACATCAAAGCAGATGAAGACCTAAGGCTGTGGCAAAAGAACAAAACTGTGTATGGTGTTCAAATGGGTCAGGTTTATGAGCGACCTTGAAGGAAAGAAGTTTTCTACGTAAAATGAAGAATTTAGAACTGAAAATAGGCTTTATAATAACTCAGTCTCAAATAACTTACTTTTCCTACCCTGTCATAATCAACAGCACTGCTACCAGAGTAATCGAAGATAAAATGTGGTTTAAAGCAGGTGCTGACAAAATACTATTGTGGGCCAATTCCAGTTTGATGCTTCCTTTTTTAGGGGGAGAGTGGAATTGGAGTTTGAACTCAAGGCTTTCTGATTGCAAAGCAGGTGCTCTACTGCTTGATCCACACCTCCAGTCCATCTTACTCTGGTTATTCTGGAGATGTGGTCTCATGACGTATTTTCCGAAGCTGGTCTCAAACTGTGATCCTCAGGATCTCAGCCTCCCAAGTAGCTAGGATTACAGGCATGACCCACAGGTGTTTAGCTCACTGCCTCCTTTTGTAAATAAAATCATACTAGAATATGGTCATGCTTCTTTTGCAAATAAAGTTTTATTAGAACACAGCCAGGCTTGTTTATGTATTGGCGGTTACTGTTCTCAAGCTGCAAGAGCAGAGCTGAGAAGTTACAACACAGACCATTTGATCCACAATACCTTAACCTACTCACTATCTGGCCTTTATAGAAAAAATTTAAAGGAAATCCTTTTTTGCAAATGTTTAGACCTTCAGTCTACCATAAACCCTAAGGCTCTCTTGAGTGCAACAAAGCTACTTCTAAAAGAACCAAAGATCTTATGTGTTATCAATCATTCTACTTAATGTACTCCAATTTCCAACTTATGTTATCTTATAACTTTCCTATAAATAAAATATAGGAATCAATAACAATAAAAATACATCACAACTTCAACATCAATAATCCAATGTACTATTTTAAGCAGAAAGAGAACAAAGTCATCTTAGAAGTTAGCATTTGCAGAATATGTAGTGAAATCAGAGGTCATCAATTCAGTCTGTTAGCAGAGTTCTGTGTGCATCAATTAACAAAACTGGGAACAAAATTAGAAGCAGAATTTCACCTACTGGTGATTGGGATGCTAAAATTTCCTGGACTTTACCACCTGTATTAAATTATAAATGTTAGAATGTGGGTGTGGAGCCCAACAGATAGAACAAATACCCCACAGTTTCTACTTACTGGTCTGAGGAATGGCTTCTGGACCTGCTTCGTGAGGATATGGAACATGTCCACAGTTTCTGTTGCCAGGGCGAGGTAAGAGCGTGAAACGCGCTCGTCCTGAGCAAGCTGAGACTGCCGGGCCTGCTGTTGATCCTAGGAAACATAGAACAGGTGCCAAATAAATCTTATTTATTGTCATCAGCTCACTAACACGCCAAGTGTGAGGGAAAAACAGAGTCAGCTCATAACTGGAGAAGTGTAAGACAAAGCCAACATGCTAAGGGAGTGGGATAAGCAGCTGCACCAGCAAACTGTCCAGAGAGCTTAAATTTGTTTCCTCTAGCACCAGAACTCTTTGGAACCTTCAGTCAGGTGGCCTTGGCACTTTTCTTTCTTTCTTTTTGGTCCTGGGATTGAACACAGGGCTTTGTGCTTTACCACTGAGCGACACCCTCAGCCCTGGCACGTTATTAAACTCATTCTCTCGGTTTTTTCAATGATAAAAGAAGTCCCAATCAATCTCTTTGGAGAATGAGTAGTGCTCTGACATAGGACCTGACACACACTGGTGCTATAAAGGGTAGCTCACTGCCATAATAACAAAGTTGTACTTAGTTGTTGCTGTTTTAAAAGTATGTGATGCACTGTACTACAGCACAGAGGCTTATTCGTCCTGCCCCCAGTGTCTGCAATGGCTAATCTTTTTGAATTTTGTCTTTCTACACTTTCAGGCAGTCACTCATTACAACCGTCAGCATGCTTGCCTTGGGGAAGCATCTTTCTCCCTTAGTGCTGCCATGGGTAAATCAGGTGGCACTGTGCCCATCAGCAAAGACTTCCATTTTTACATCTGCCTTAACCACAGGCCTTAACCTCTGGGTCAGAGCTTCAGTCAGTGCCTGGTGGAGATTCTGCAGTGAGACTGCCCACTGGTCCCTGGTCAAGAATGAGAACTAGGAAAAAGGCTGCACCAGGGAATTCACAGAAACAGCCAGCAATGCACAGTCTCCACGTGGGGCTGGGTATCTCATCACTTATCTGAAGTATTACACAAGTGCTTTTACAGGCTGGACCCTCTTTAGGCACTGAGGTAAAGCACAGACCAAGGCTTAGGCCCAGTGGGGCTTCTGAGCCTCCTGCAGCTTAGATTCCATTAGGGAGACTTTACTTAATAAATGCGTGCACACACACACACACACACACACACACACACACACAGAGTAAGTCAACAGTGTTGACAAAGAATGAAGCAAGGTAAGGGGAAAGGAGTGACATCAGGGTTGGGGGATGATGCTGTGGAAAAGGTGGTCAGGGAAGGTCTCTCTGAGAGGGTGATAATCTAGGAATATCTAAAGGAAGTGAGTCAATGAAATTCTGGGGAAAAGCACTGCAGACAGAGGGCACAGCAAGTGCAAAGGCCCTCATGTCAGAAGAAAGGCAAGGAGACCAGTATGGCTGGGGTAGAGTGAGCAGAGGAGAGTGTTGGGAAATGAGGGCACAAAGGTGTCCCCATGCCGTAAGGCCACACTCAGAGCTTAGGATTTGATTCTAAGTAAGAAGGGAGGCCCAGAAGGACTCTGAATAGAGTGGTACTGAGCAAACTGAGATTTTAACAGTGCCCCTCTGGTATAGACATGAGAAGGGTGGAGGCTGGG